CATCAAGTTGCTGTACCTAGGACTGTCAGCGACCTCATCTCCATCTGGAGATCTCCCCTCCACAGCATTCCTCGTTACAGTCCACCCAACCGCATACAGCACACTTATAACTCCTTCCCAAAATGCAGAAACAGACTGTCCTGGCAAAACTATCAGCTATTCCTGCCCTGTTGAACTTAGTTCTTCTAAGCTTGACTCTCTGCTCCCCCCACCACCTTTGTTTAGTCTATCCCTACTGACATTCATGATTTTCCTGACAATTTACCTCAGCTTCCAGTTTTCTGACCCTAACTGCCTCCTCTTCATCATGGATCTGCATTCATCCCCTGCCAGAAACTCTGTAGGCTTCTTCCTTGAAAAGAAGCCTGCACAGTCCACATTTACCGTCACCCTCCTTTGCCTGGCTGAGCTCATTCTCACTTCTCCTTTAACTCATCCCACTCTCTCCAAGTCAATGGTGTGGCTATGGGTACCCACACAGGTTCCAGTTATTCCTGACTCACTGTGTGGGGTATGTGGAACATCCTTATTCCTGTCGTAGTCAGACCCCACCCACAACTGTTTCTCTGATACATCAATGATGGGTCATTGGTTTGGCTTCCGGAATTGGGAAAATTAATTAGTTTTCAATTTCCATCCTTCTCACCTTCACCATTTTCCTTCACTGTTCTGACCTCACTGTTTCCATTTCTGACTGCCAATGTGGGTCTGTACTCACTGGACCTTTGAAGAATGAGAGGTGACCTTATTGAAGTACATAAGATTCTTCAGCAGCTTGACAGGCTAGATGTGTAGAGGTTGTTTCTCCGTGTGGGAGAGTTTAACACGAAAGGGCATAATCTCAGTGTAAGGGGTCCCCTCTGTTTTGGCTGGAAGAGTAATGTTGACCTTGCAGTTGCTTGCCATTTCATTAAATCTTGATCCCATGCTAAAATTTCTACTCTGTGCCCGCTGCAGTGTTCTAACAAAGTTTAATGCAAGCTGGAAGAAGAGTATCTCATTTTCCACCAAAGCACTTCACAGCCTCTAGGGCTCAATATTGTGCTCATTAACTTCAAGGCATGATCTCTGTCTTCCATTTTGATGAGAACCTCCCACTCAGCGGATCTTGTTGGCTTTGGTCTTAGTGACTTCCCATTTTCTCCTTTTCACACCTATCATTTGCACCTATTTTATATCTCTCTCTCTTTACAGATGCTGCCAGGCCTGCTGAGTTTTTCCAGCAATTTATGCTTTTTTATAAAATTGAATTCTTTGATAAGGCTGACACAGACAGTAGGTGAGGATAGTACTGTGGATGTTGTACATTTGGGCTTTCAGCAAATATTTGATGTGGTGTCATATAATTGGTTGGTTAGCAAAGTAGAAATATGTGGATTGATTCATCCTTGGCTGCATAATTAGAGGTTGGCTAGAAGATAGGAATAAGAAGGTATATATAGACTAGCATTTCTCAGATTGGAAACAAGTTGAAAGTAGTGTTCCCCAGGCATCGGGTGTTGGGACGCTTGCTTTTTCTGATTTATAAATGGTTTGGAGAGGAAACGTTGAGGCCAAAATGTCTAAATTTGCAAATGATACTGAGGTAGGGAGAATAGTGAATTGTGAGGATGATGCTGAGTACCTTCAGAGGGACATTGACAAATTGGCCAAATGGGCAGACATCTAGCAGATTGATTTCAATACAAACAAGTGTGAGGTAATATATTTTGGTAGGAAAAACATGTAGAAATAATACAGGCTCAATTGTACAAGTCTGAGCAGAGTGCAGGAGCAGAGGAACCTCGGGGTTTATGTGCATGATTCTCTGAAGGTGGTGAAGCAAGTTGAAACAGTTGTTCAGAAGGATTATAGGATCCTTGGGCTTATAAATAGAGGCATTGAATATATAAGTAAGAGGGTGATGCTTCACCTCTACAAACCATTGCTCAATACTGAGTTCCATTCTGGGCACCTTATTTAAGGAAGGATATTAAAGCCCTGGAGAAAGTTCAAGGGCGATTTATTAGAATGATACCAGAACTGAGGAATTTTAGATACAAGGTAAAATTAGAGAAATTGGTCTAATTCTCCTCATGCAAAGAAAATTAAAAGATGACCTTATTGACATGCTCAAAATGATGGACAATTTTGACAGGGTAAAGAAGGATATTTTGTTTCCTCCGGCTTGTTTGTCAGTAACTAGAGGGCACAATTTCATGATTTTCTGCAAGACAGCTAGGAGTGAGATGAGGAAAAAACTTCTTTACTCAGAGAGTTGTTAGGATTTGGAATGTGCTGCCTGGGAGAGTGATCGGGGCAGATTCCATAGGAAGTTTCAAAAGCGACCTGGATATATATTTGAAAGTGATGAATTTAAGAGAGCTACAGAGTTAGGGCTGGAGAACGGGACCAGCTGGGTAGCTCTTTCAGGAGCCGGTATAGATATGATAGGTCGAATGGCCTCTGTTTGTACTGTAAAATTCCATCATTACATTTGTCATCCAAACTTTTTTTTACCAACTTTTTGTGATTCACATACCAGGACAGCCTTTGTACTGAAACATTCTGTAATCTCTTTCCATTTCAGCATACTTCACTCCTTCCAACCATAGTGGATGACCTCACATTTTCCCGCACAATACATGTATACTGTCCTTTCATGCAAGACATTTATATTGACTGAAAATAGTTGAAGCCCAGCATTGATCCCTGTGGCACAAATGCCATGAATTTTTAAGTGGGACAGTTTTATGCAGCAGCTCATTGAATGAATTTCAAAGTCTAAGTCAGAAAATCACACGGCACCAGGTTATAGTCCAACAGGTTTATTTGAAATTACAAGCTTTCAGAGCACTGTCCCTTCGTCAGGTGAAGCGCTCCGAAAGCATGTGATTTCAAATAAACCTGTTGGACTATAACCTGGTGTCGTGTGACTTCTGACCTTGTCCACCCCAGTCCAACACCGGCACCTCCACGTCATTTCAAAGTACAAATACACGACATTTGCCGATTCCTCTGTCCGCTCTGCTTGATGCGTCCTCAAAGAGAAAAAAATTGTTTAAAATGGTTTCCTTCTGCCTGATGAAGACCATACGATGTAGGAGCAAAAGTAAACCTTTACTGAGGAAAATCTGTCTCTCTCTCATCTTTGAACATACTTCACGAACCAGCCTCAATGGCCTTCTGTGGTATTCTCTGAATTCCACAGATTCACTGTGCTCCAAGAAAAGAAATTCCTCCTCATTTCTGTCTTAAATATGCAAACCCATATTTTGAAATTATGCCCTCCAGTCCTAGACTCTCCTACAAGTCTCTGCATCTATTCTGACAAGTCCCCTTGGAATCTTGTATATTTCAATAAGGTCGCATCTTATTCTTCTACACTTGAATAAGTACAGGCCCAACCTACTTAAACTCTTCTTCATCAGCCTCATGAACCTTCTCTGGACTGCCAGTATCCTTCCACAAGTAAGAGACCCAAACTGTTTCCTTATAACATCCTGCTTATTCCTCCTTAATGATAGATTTCAGAATTTTCTCAGTGCCAGATGTTGAGTTAATTGGTCTATAGTTTCCTGTGTTCTGCCTCTCTCCTTTCTTGAATAGGGATATTACATTTGCACTTTCCCAGTCCACTATGACCTGTCCAGCATCTAGGGAATGTTGGAAGATAACATCCAAAATCTCTACAGTCACATCCCTTAAAACCTCTAAGATGTTGGCCATCAGATCCAGGGGATTTAGTCAGCCTTGAGTCTGACTTGGTTTCCAAATAAACCTGCTGCTGCACATTTCTTCAGGATTTTCTCAGACATGTCTTTAAAAAGGTTTCAGACTCCTGAAGAAATACATTACACTACTTTTTGTTTCTTCTTTTCATTAATGTACTAACATTCATTCCTGGCTGTGAGCAAGACTTGGAGGAGCCATCATAATGGAAATAAAAAGTGTGGTACCATATTCTACAGACTTGTTTATTATCATCCACTATTTTTTATTTAAATTAATACCCGGAGGAAAAGATATCTCATAATCTCCAGATTCAATATAATGTGTGTTATTAGATTCTATTGGGAAAGGACACACACCAAGTCTGGGTTTAAGTTTATAAATAATTTATTGCAGGAGACAGCCATCTGACCTCTGGGAGAGGTAAACTACTACAAGTAGTTAATGCAAAAAATCAAAAATGGTGTGGTCCCAGCCTACTTGTGGCAGGCAGCGTGTTTTAAGACTACAGTCAGAATATACACTGAATGCAGTGACAACATAAAGGTGTGGTTGGATGGTACCATGAACCAGTTTTAATTCTCCTGAAGGATCATTTAATTAGAGATTTGGAGCATTTGATTCAAATGAACTGCATTCCCTGTTCATTTTTTTTTTAAAATGGGTAAGCATGTACCATCATTCTTTCAGATATTAGACTTTGTTCTAAATATGTCCTTTCATATTTCTGTGTAAGGGATTACATAATCAAGTTGCTCCAGAAAGAATGCATCTGTTCTCTGTTTCAATTAACTACTATTACTATCATGAGACCAATATCTTGTAACAAAACACTGCCTGGGAGATAGGGGCATGGCTTTGTACCTGGCTTAACCTTAGGTTGTGGAAAGTGGCAGCTTTGGAAGTTAACAGGGATGCTACTCCACATTAAATTAAAAAAATAAAAGTTTCAAACATCTATTAATTCGGGCCATTTGTAGTAAAATGTCAAAATGAAGAGTACAGCTTCTTCAAATCACTTGATTGGAAATGTTGGAGTTAAGTACAAAATCCCTAATTAAAGGCTTTTTGAAGTGTGCTGACACTGCCACAATAAATTACCACCATCTCTTTCTCTTGTAAAATTACAATCAATCATCCCATCTGTAAACCATTCAATCAATAAAGGTTGTGCTGTCTACTTCCATTGCTCCTGATGATAGAATGCTGAACAAGTGTGAATATACATGTCAGAGCTCAGAATTTCTGAGCATGTTTGCTTCATCTATGATTAAAAGCTATGAACCTACCCCAAACATTTGTCGCAGGTCAGGGTCTCTGAATCGGAAGGGAATGTTGGAGACATGTAACCTTTTGGGTTGCTGTTTCTCTGTGGTCTCTGATGACTGTAGCTGCTGTGACGAATCTGTCTGTGCGGCTTCATCTGTCTGCTGGGAGAACGGCAAAAGGCAATGATAAAACAACAGGCAACTAACAAGTGAAGCATGCCAGCCATGACATAAAAGTAAGGTTAGGGTCAGGTGAGGCATTCTCATTCCCAGAATAGCCATTTTGAATCCAAATTGACTGTCAAATTAAAGAGCCATATTTGCATGCCTTCCCCATTTGTCACGGCCACCTTCCTTCTACTATTCTCTTTTAGAGTACAATCTAGTTAATGGTGGAATGTGCATTGTTCTGAACTGCCCAGGGGAACAACAACAAAGGACAATTTGAGTATTGATAGATCACTTGCAAACCAAATCAAGGAATGAAAATAGTGTTCATTAGGAACTGGCCTCTATGCAAAGATGTGAAATGGTCTTTTACATCCAATATGATTACATGGAGCTAATTGTTCCATTTTCTAAGACGGTGAAAAATCATGTAACTTATTTTGTGATCATGGCAAATTAATTAATAAGAGGATCTGATGAATTCTCAATGTTTTCTGAAGAGGAGCTGACAGTTTTACAACAGCCATCACACTTACAATCTAACAGAGTAATATTTTCAGTCAGTTTTCAGTCCATCTTCATGATTAAAAACATTTACGCACAAAAAAGAGCATCATGGGCCCAGCACTGCTATTTGAACTAATTGTCATCTTTAATGCAATTCCATATTTTAGCACTGCGCAATATGTCAGAAGGTTTCAGAATGCAGTGCATTTCATTAAGTGGCAGAGAAAGGTATTTGCATGATTATTGTAACTTATGCAACAGCTATGTCCTCTAGAACAATGTGATAAAGCCAATGTGACTACACTTTTATTCAAGGACCATATTTGGCCACAGCCAATTGTATCATCTGACCAGGATTCATACTGCTGCTCTCACTCTTTTCCAGAATCAAATATCAACTAAACACTGTGGGGAGAAAGGTCACATAAGTTAAAAGGGGAAACAAAAAGCACCTTAAGGATAATGCATTCTAAGGAAAACATTACTTTCTAGTAGCACATTGAAACATCGAATGAATAAAAAAAATCTACATTAAAAATCCACCAATAGCCCACATATGACGGTACAACTGAGGTCAATTCACTTATTAAGTGAGAAAGCTAAAATGAGCCTTGACTAAGGTCTTATGCTTCCCACAGTCTTAGTGATATCCACACTCTACGAATAACTAAGCTATAGCTCACAGTATATTGATTGCATTTAATTGTCATACTTTCCTTGATTCTGTATACATTATTTTTTCAATATGTTTCATTCATAGTAATTTTGATTGAAGTGACTCATGTACCCTTCAATCCCAACCATACTTTTCTTGCTGATTGCTTTGGAAGGCTGAACGCACAAACACTAAGCTGATTTTGGATAGTTCTTCATTTGAGATTTATCTCATGAAGCTGTAACGTTTGATGGGATGTCAACTACTCCCACTCTCCGGTGCATCAGGAACAATGCATAGCTTATTTTTGAGCTGTAACAATTTGCTCTTCTCATCTTTTGCAAACTGACAACTGATGTCTCAAACATGAAAAGAAATTGTGATTGAGTGCAACAATATAATGTTTGTCTTTGGACACTGAGGTTAAACTGGTTGATGAAAGACTTGAGCTGGTTCAGGTCACCACAATAGTCCTCTATCATAACTTCAACATAGCAGATAGTTGGAGTTTCTTAGGGGGACTGGACTTATGCAGTAATTTCAATGAAAATGAATTTCTTGGTATTGCACTTCTTTTGCTGTGAGATTCTGCTTAAACTGCACATCTGCAAATTGACAAAGACTTTAAAAAAAATTAATTAATTTTGGTCCAGGGCAACTGGTTTTTGTGTGTGTGCATGTGCATCATTAAAAGAATGATAGGTCATGAATGTTGTGCTACTGTAATATAGAAACCCATCATGATAGTCAACAGAATCTGCTTTTCCTTGTTATGCTAATAATAGCTCATGACAATCATAGTAATTGTGATAAATCAATAGGAAAAACATTACATTCCCTGGGAAAAAAATTAATGAAATTGAACAATATTGCCATTGTGAATAAATACTGGTACTTTTTAAAAGGTTTTCTTGCATCAAACAATTCTTAGTCTGTCATTGAGCTGTCGGACAGCTGTGAAATTTATAATAACTATATGCAACAGGCAACTCTGTGTAGAAATGCCTGGCAATGGAAGTGCTTCCACCAGATACTGACTCTCATGAGTAATTTGAGCTTAATTTACTTCCTTTATTTTTAAAATTTTCTACATTATCAATTTTGATATTTTGTGGACAATGACCTACATCTACTTCACAAATAAAGCATCCTTGTCAAGTAGGTCTTAATGGTCACATCTAATCCTTGTATATGTTACAGCCCTCCCTCCTTACTGTTAGGCATTTGAATCATGAACTGCCTCGGGAATTGGACAGCTTAATTTTTCCACTACTGTCATTACAATGTTCAGAATTTGACTTGAGCATGCAATAACAGTTGAGAGAAAACAAAACTGGCCAAAATTTCACATCAGCTAGTATCCACTGAAACAAAGATATTACAGTACCAGGTGTAAACTCTCAGTCAGTCACCACAGATTTTGCTTCTTACTCGACAACATGACTTAAATTATGGTAACAGCTTCTGTGGGTAAACAAAGTGTCAGGGTGGGGAAGCTAATTAACATTAAGTTAAACTCTGTTCTAAGTAACGATATGTATGCACAGAGTTATCACTATCACTTCTAGCAGAGCTGCACGGAATGCTTCAAATGCCAATGTAAAGATCATATCTTCTTTATTTTCCTGTGTTTCTGAATGTGGACTGAAATGGGAAAGGGACTGCTTTTAAAAAATAAGGATATGTGGAAAGGTTTACTCTATCTTCTAAAAGCAAGTTATTTGACACTCATTGTAAGTGCTGTTTACACTGCTGTTTGTTCCAGCAGCAGGGAAAGTTACTACACATGAACTGGAGCCACGAGGCGTATGAAGGTAAATCTGGCAGGCATCAAGTAACTGATTGGAAACAAAAAACAAAAATTGCTGGAGAAACTCAACAGGTCTGGCAGCATCAGTGGAAAGAAAGCAAAGTTAACACTTTGAGTCCAGTGACCCTTCTTCAGAACAGTAACTGATTGGTCTGTGGAATGGTATAAATGACAAATGCCTTCTTTCTGCCAACAACAATGGGATTGGGTTCCAGTTAGTTGAACAGCTTATGGGTGTGAGTCAGAATCTATTGGATCTCCACAAAGGAAGGATCTACCTGTTTCCTTGCAGTAAAAAAAGCATCTTGAGCCTGAAGAAAGCCAGTTTACTTCCCCTCGGTTGCTATAAGCTGTGGCTTTTAACAGCGAATCAAAAATTTATGTGTAAACCAGTCACCCTGTACTTCCTGCAAGTAAGTGAAAGCATTTGATTGGTTGAAGAGATACGTTGGTGCTTGTTCAGTCCCAGATCTTCTACAGAGGATGCCACGGTAAATGAAATTCTCTAGTTCTTGTACATTGTCACACAAAAGCCCAGTAAAAGTCTGGGCAGCTGTTAGGTTACAGAACGGTGGGTATTTTTAAGTTTCCATCGATCCCAAAATCCAGACCAACATGCGTTAAAGACTTGATTTTTCTAAAGGTATCACAGGGTCTTATAACTTCACAAACATGTAGATGATAATTGTTTTAAACAAATTGTTTATTTCAGTGCAAGATGCTTAAAAATGTGGTAATATGATTAATCCAACAGCTGAGCAGCCTTACATTGTAATCCAGTCTTCCAAGCATTACATTGTATAATCTTACAAATGAAGATAAACGGCTGGTCCAGGAAAACTTGAATTTTGTGAAAGCTTGTGTGTAAGGGTTAAATCCTTAAAACCTGTAATTTGGAACTTGTATTCAAATTAATATTGGCGCCCATTGCTCTTCAACTGAAATGGTTTAATATCAACTCAATTTGAATGAGGAAAGGTAAATTTAAGTGAAAATGATCTTGGTTCACATGGAACATAAAAAATGAATAAATAATGTGGTCTCTTTGGGGATTTTGAGGATACACATGAAATCTCAAATGGTCAACTGTTGCCATTTGGAAATGTGAATTTCAAAGAGAAGCATCTAAGGCATTTGAAACAAGTAATTAGAAACACTGACTTAGATTTTCAAATGTATATTTCAAAAGTCCGTGTTTTTAACCTTCTGGCAATTATATCTTCATTTTGCAGTTAATTCAAGTTAAATAGAAGAACGGGTAACTAGATGTGGAAAACCATTTCAGCAAGCACTGAGTGAAAATCAACTAACCGTCTAACCTGGCACAGCAGGAAAATCTACAGCAGATGCTGCAATTGCACAACGCAGAACAAGCTCCTACATTTCACCACTTACAAAACTTCTATAGTGCAGACTGATCTAATTTTACCAATTCTAATTACTATTGTTGGCAGTATCGTTAATCTCTGTCTATTTAGCTCTTTTTACACTTTATTGGAAACTACTTGGACCTCTTTCAAAGAGAAAGGGTTGCAATAAATAAAAGCTGCATCATTATCCTAAGCAGCCTGGCTCGGAGAATACTGTCAGAACCTGCTGTACAAATAACAGCAGGGAAACTATAAATACCAGGAAAAAAGGTACATGTCAAGGGCAACATGGCCAAAAATAAATTGACAAAATTGCCTTGAAAATGTACATAATGAGTAGGGAAAGTAGGGAATAAGCAAAGAGAGGGTCAAAGTATTAATAGGTAAATCAACGTCTAACCATTAGGATGTAAATGAATGTATTGCATTGAAAGATTGTGGGAGTCAATAGTGATGTCTTAGCAAACTATTGCTGGGACTACTGCTATTTGGGTACAATGAGCTGATATAATGCACCCCAATTTGTTTTACCTAATATTACAATGCTTTGGGGAACTAGGCATCAAGGGTTTGTGAATACACCAGGCACAAGGGTAGGTTATCTGGCACCAGCTACTTTTAGAAAGCTCACAGGGCGGACACTGATATGGTA